GGCTATTCAAGTGAGGTCACATGACCTAGAGCAGGGCTATTCAAGTGGCGGCCCGTGGGCCAGAAATGGCCCACGAGTGACTTCAATCCAGTCCACTTCATTTTTTTATTTTTTATTGAGGAGGGGTTCTGTGTTTTGGTTTTGGGATCCGTTTATTGTATTTATGATTCAATGTAATAAAATAAACAAATTAAAAAAGTTACAGCTCATTGTAAACTTTGCTTTATTTACATAATGATTTTAATCGCTGGATGTCCGGCCCACGAGCTGTTTGCTTTCAGAAACTGTGGCCCCCTGAACAGTTTTGTTGAATAACCCTGACCTAGAGTGAAGAGGTCTCTGAACAAAACTAATTTACTTTTGGAGCCATTTTGAATTAAAATGGCTGCCACAGCTAACTGAGAAAAACAAAATTGACTACAACTCAGTCATTCTTTGAGATATTGAGCTGCAATGTGTGTTATGGTCGTAGCTGAGAGCAAGTTGTTATACATTCCTAATGCAAATTAAAATTAAAAATCCAAGATGGCCGCATTGGCTAAAAGGGACAAAAAAACAGCTGTTTTAAAAATACTGATCTGAAATTTTGTGTGGTGGTAGCTGACAGCGATCCATCCATGATCTTTAACCCGCTTCTTCCTTTTCGGGTCATGGGGGTCACTGGTGCCCATGTCCAGCAATCACTGTGTGAGGGGTGGGGTACACTCTGGACAGGTCCCCAGTCCATCACAGGGACACATAGAGACAAACGAGACAATCATTCACTCTCTCTCACTCACACCTAGAGACAATTTAGAGTTATCTATCAGCCCAACATGCATGTTTTTGGTCTGTGGGAAGAAACTGGTGTACCCGGAGAAAACCCACACATGCATGGAGAGAACATGCAAACTCCCCCCAGAAAGGCCCCCGGACAGGGATATGAACCGGCAACCTTCTCGCAGAGAGGCAGCAGCTCTAACAGGTGTGCTATGCACGACATATTCTGAATTCAAATCTAAAAATTCAAGATGGCCACCAAAGGTAATTTTGAATGGATATACGGTAATTCAGCCATTTTTAGAGCTATTTAGCTTAAAGCTGGTGTGATTCTAGCTGAAAGTGATGCCCAATAAATACTGAATTAAAAAAAAAATAATTAAAGATGGCCATTAAAGCTGCATTTAAATTTCTTTAACTCAGTTATTTTTTACACATACAGAGCTGAAATGTGGTGAGGTTATAGCTGAGAACGTTCCACATCACAGACTGAATCCAAATCAAATATCCAAAATGGCCACCATAGCTTAAAAGGGAAAAAATGACTTTTTTGCCATTTTGTGCTGAAATTTGTTATGGTGGTAGCTGCAAACGAACCCCAACACACAATACTGTCAAATCAGACATTTAAAATGTTTGCAACGTGGCAGTCCCCGTCAAAGTCTCTCCAGGAACTTTCCAGTTCTGCCTCCTGTTCCTCCTGCAGATCTCAGACCTTCTTCTCTGCACCACACAGTGTGATTATGTGAACAAATGGATACAACTGTAGATTTTAGCCAATTTTCTGCCAATTTGACCTTTTAGCTGCTGCTTTACTGATTCCAGCTACTGTTCTGTTTGATTTAACTCAGTCCATTCG